GGGATGGTGAGGTGGTGGCTTGATTTTGTCTTTCTTCATTAAGCAATTAGAACTGCTCTAGTGGAGCAAATAGAAGGCCCTCCCTGGCCTTGAGGGAAAGGGGTCCAGGTTTGAGGTTTTTGCTCTGTTGCTAGTGACTGGGCTGCAGTTTTAATGGCCACTGAGCCTCCTCTCAGGGTGACCAACCCTCCTGGTTTGTCCAGCCCTAAGGGGTTTCCCAGGATTTGGGAAGTTCGGTCACCGGGAAGACCCAGGGTGACCAGGACAAGGTGGTCACCTCACTCTTCCTGATCGGAGGCTACAGGGAGAGGACAGAAGCCATAGGGCAAAGGGCACTTTGGGTGCAGGGGGAGGAAGGGATGAGAGAGGGGGCCTGTGAGCCCCAAGGGTCCAGGGCAGTGATATTCCTCCGGGGATGGGGTCACGCTCCCACAAGGCACAGCTCTTGCTTGGTGGCAGGCCGTCCCCCTCTCCCCCGCTTTCAGCCGTTTCTAAGAATGTCGTTCCCAGCTCTTTGATCCCATCCTAGGTGATACCCCCTCCTTGGTTGCTTTAAAGTGCAAAACTCAGACCCCAGGGCACAGGTGTGGACCAACCCGTGCAGAGAGGAGCACGGCTCTCTCCTCCCTGGTTCTAGGCTCTATGTCTTCATTAATGCAGCCCCAAACAGCATCCCATTTGTGGTGAGCAGTATCGTGCTCCATCTGGACCCAGCCGAGCCTGAAATTGACCAGATGGCCCCTTCCAAGTCTTTTTCTTGTAAATAGCTCTTAAGGTGTGGGATTGTTGGAAAAGCTTGTAACCTCAGGGTGAAGGAAAGGCGAAGGGGCCCGAGACCAGTGGATTCCGGTGGCCAGGGCAAGAGTGTCAGGCTGGTTTCGGGGTTTGGGGCCAGTCCCAGCTCCCAAAGTTCAGCTCTACTGGAGGGAGGGCGTGATGTTCCTGATGCCAGCGGAGAGGGGGAGGATTCTATGGCAAAGAAGGTAGACAGCATGGCTTCAGTTCTGCCCCCACAGAGCACACCCCGGGTGGGTGTGCGCAGAGGTGATAGAAGGACAGAGCCTTCGCCAGAGCCCCGCCCACCGACGGGCGCCGACCTCCTGTCCTGGGTCTGTGCGCACAGCAGAGCGGGGGCCCCGGGCACACAGCTCCCGACACCCTCGATTGAGCAGCTGCCAGCCCAGCTGCCAGAGGGGCAGGGAGGGAAACTGTGGATGGGGGGTGGAGGTTCCACCAGCCACCAGCCAGCGGGCTCCACCTTCCAGGCTGTGAAACACCCACCGGAAACTGAGGCCTGGCACAGGCAGGGGTGTGGGCAGGCCCTGGAAGGCAGCCCTGGAGCAGGCAGAGCCGCGGCTGGGAAGGAGTCACAGCCAGCTGCATGGGGAAATGCAGGCGATGCCCACGCCCCCGGCCACTGACCCCTCGGTCGGTCCCAGGCCGCACGCTGCTCACTTATTATCCTCGCTCCACGAGGTCCTCAAACCCACCCTGTTATCCCAAGTCACGTGACAGAGAAGACTCAGAGAGGTCAAGTGACTGGCCCAAGGTCACACCACCTGGACCTGGCGGAGCCTAGGGAGTCCAGGTCTGTGTGGACACAAAGGCTTTGCCCCTCACCAGCTGAAACAGAAACTTACCAGTTCTTGAGACTGGCCACGTCCATTCTGGGACCCCTCACCTTGGGAGAACCGAACCCCAGAGCCCACAGACAGTACGGGTGGCCAGCACGGGCCCTATAAAGCCGTGTTGACAGCTGGCCAGGGCAGGGAGCCCAAGGTGCCGGGTGGGCACCAGTGCCACGGCCAGGGAGCCCGCAGAGGCCCAGGCTTGGCCCCCCAGCTTGGCCTGGACTGGAGGGGAAACTGGGTGGGGGCCAGTCAAGAACAACAATTGTGTCAAGAGCCCCAGAGCCACTGGGTGCGGGGATGGGGGTTCCTAAGGGTTCCATCCACAGGGCCACCCCCGCTGGACGGGAGAAGGGGCCTTCGTCCCGTGGGGAGAGTGTAAGGTAGACAGAACCAGAAATCAGACTGGAGTCTGGGAGGGATTGTCAAGGGACAGAGTAGAAAGGGGAGGGGACAGGGGTGTGTGATGCTGTGGGGAATGGAAATCCACGGGAGGGGGTGCACCCTGTCCTGGAGGCGTTCTCACTTCAAGGGAGGGGTGCGTCTCTTGGAGACGGAGGCCAGCCTCGCTCACCTGCGTCTGGACGACCGCCCTCCCCCCTGCATTCGGGATTTCTGGGTAGGCTGTCAGGACCTTCCAGATAAATGGTGCCTCGGTGGAGTGCATTTCTCTACCAATCATCAGGGGTCCCTGCCACCAGAGCAAGGCCCCCCCCAGGCTGGACCCGTGCCCTCCCAGACCACAGAGGTCATGGCCACAGTGGAGAATCTGAGGCCTTTGCTCAGGACCCCCCAGTCCTACACCTCCCTTTCTGCCAGCACAGACACCAAGCCCTTGGAGAAGCAGGAGGGCAGGGCAGGGCCAGTAGACGGATGGGGAGAGCCCAGCCCAGGGGACACGCCTGGCCTGGACCCAGCCTCCAATCTTGCCCCAAACCCCTGCTTCCGGGGGGCGGCCTGCGGCTCTGAGACAGCTCTGGTGGCCTGCAGGAGCCAGCTCTCACAGGGGGCCAGAGGAAGCAGGACCAGAAGCTTCTCTCCCCAGGGCCACCCAGAGCCGGCTGTCCTACAGTGACCTACGCAGCCTAGTTCCTCAGGTGCCCACCAGCCGGTTACACCTTCCCATGGTCCCACATGTACAAGCACACACTCTATACAAGGTGGATGCACATAAAATGCAAGTGAATTATTACATGAGGTCAGTTCCCTAAGCCCCCTTGCTCTCCCAAATCCCTTGGACCTCATTTTCATAAGTACTTTTAAAAAAAGTCTTATCAAGTCCCAAAAGCAAGAGTGTTTGCAAATAAATTACAGCAACAGTTAAATTAAATGTTTCTAAAAATTGTCTTTTTTAACTCTTAGCCCATCTCTCAATTAAGCAGATTTTAAGCATAACACTTTAAAAAAATTTCTGGTTTGCCAAGCAAAGCCTGTTTCTGTATTTAATAGCTTTATTTTTACCTTCCACAATAATGACAGGGCACTTAAGAAATTAATTTTTTTCTCAAGATTTAATTTCACAACATGAATTATAACTTCAAAGTTCGGACTTCTGGAGGGGAGGGTCCTTTCCAGGAAAATCCTGGTTCTAGGACCGAAAGGCTGAGACACAAGATCAGATTGCCTGTCCTGCCTTTTCCAGGGGAGGCAGTGGACACTTCTCCACTGTTGAAGGCTTAGTCCCTGTGAAACGTAGTTAGTAGGGGAAAGTCAAGGTGGAGGGTGCCTAGGAGAGTCCCCAGCACCAGATCACAATCCTGACTGCGGCTCCTGGGGCGTGCAGGTGAGGTCTTTGCTGCTCTCGAAAATTGGGCAGCAAAGCCTGGGGCTGACGTATGAAGAGTTGCATTATGGCAAAGAGACAGCACCCCTCCAGGAACTGTCATCCTGCCAAGACGTCAAGGAACCAGGTCTTCAAGAAAAGAAAGAGATGATTGGGTATAATTTTATAGCAGCAGAATCCTGGATCTAATATTAGCCATTGTATTTTACAGTTTGACAGTTTCTGGCCTGGGGACCAATCGGGGCCCCTGGCTGAGAGGCTGTCGCCCCATCCTCGGGCTCGGGGGAGGGAAGGGCCACCCCCCTCTCCTGAGCCCACTCCCCAGGCTGTGCTGCACTGGCTCGTCTCAGGCCTCTGGGCCAGCGTGAGAAGCAAGAGTGGGGGTGCATTCCGGGAGCAGTGGCTCCTGACCCTCAGGACACGGCACCTCCAGGCAAGGCGAGACAACTATGGGCTCTCTCCCAGAAAAATCCCAGACATGCCACGTTCTATGTGGCTTTGCATGGTTCTTAGACCAGCTAGGACCCATCTAAGCGACCTTTGGGGAGCAAGGATGGTAGTAACCAGCTTGCACATTTCTAGATTCTCTCCGAGTAGACGATGCTGCCAGAACAGACACAAGCAGGCTTATGAGGACCCAAATAGTCAGGCAAGGGTTAGGGACCGGCCAGCGCCAGGACAGGCTGGCCACCTGAGGATGGGGGGCTTCTTGGTGTATGGCGGTGGAGGCAGCGGGAGGAGAGAGCGGGACCCTCCTCAGCAGACACAAGTACAGGTGCTGAGGGCACTGGCGTATCTCTCAGAGACGGCTGCCTGGAGAGTTGGAGTCTCCCCGCCTGCAGGTCTGTGCTGGCTCAGCTGCAGGGCGCTGTGCGCTGAGATCACTCCCCCCTCTCCTGGAGCGCTCCGATCAGCCACAGCGGCTCCTCTTCCACTTCCTTCTTTATTGGTGGTGAGGGATTCCCAGGCCACCATCACCCTTTATGGGTAATGGGGACCCAGGAGCCTGGGCGGTGTGGATTAGCTGGGGTCAGGAGGCTGGGACTGCACAGGCCACTTTACCTCTGAGCCTGGGGTCAGAGGACACTTTCTTGAAGGGCTGAGAGTAAAGACTTTAGGATGTGTGGTCACGTGGCTCGGCCTCTGGCCCTCTACTCAGCCTGAGTTTGAAAACTACCTGGAGGCAGACAGCAGCCCGGCCCGGCAGGGAGAGTGACACTTGACTGGCACGCAGCCTCACGTGCAGGCCCTGCTCTGTGACTCTGGCCTCAGCCCAAAGGGCACCTGCAGAGCCAGGTCATGGGGACAGGTGGACAGACAGGGGCACAGGTCAGAGCATGGAAGTGACGAAGGGGTCCCACGCCTGCTGTTGGGTAAGCAAGTGTCTTTATTGAGAATATGTATGTCTGGCCATATCTGGATTAGCATTTTCTCTTATCCTCGTGAGTGGGACAGAAGGGTTGGAAGTCAGTGGAGGCACAGAGAGAGAGCCTCCTGCCCAGGGGACAGGATGCGGCTCTTCTGCTCCCGTGAGGATAGTGACGCAGAAGTCCGCGACACCTTCCTGGGGAGGGCTCTGGACCGGCTGCCCCGCCCTAGGTGGCCCGCACCTTCATCTCCGACACCTTGTGGCTGTAGTTGTACCCCTTCCCTGACCTCCAGTTGATGCCGTTTGCAAAGCTCTCGTGGGGCCCCCCAAGGTAGCGGCTGTTCAGGTTTGACACATGACAATCCTTGTACCACCAGGCCCCCTGGAACTGCACGGCACAATTGGCAGTATTTTTGTCGCTGTCTTGATCTTTGGTGGAGAAGGCGTTGTTGTTGTGGGACGTCAGGGAATCACCTGCTCAGAAGGAAAGGTCGCCTAATTGGCACACAGGGCTAAGAGGTCCCCTACGCTGGTCCAGGTCAAAGCTGCTGTGCCCAGGTGTGCATGTTGTACACTGTGCAATTCCAAGGGGTGCCACTCACATGACCCCAGGGAGCATCCCTCTGCTGATGCAGTGGCCTTGGTATCCCCTCATCTGGTCTGCTCCTGCCAGCTAACAGGCATCCTCTCACTTAGGGGGAGAACTCTTTCACTCCTCAGGGGAGAATTCCAGTCACAAGAGTGGGAATGGAGCCTTCAGGGAAATGGGCTAAATTATCATTCTTCCCCGTTTTTCATCAGTAATGGTAGTTAATAATAATGCCACAGCTTGTTGGATTTTGTCACGGGTCACATCAGCCTTGTGGGTACACTTAGGTATGCGTAGTATTACCTTATCGTGCAGATAAGAAACTGGTGAGGTTAAGTCCCCAAGAACATCACACAGAAGAGGCAGAGCCAGGACGCTAAGCAGGTCCTCCCTGCTTCCCCAAACCCCGCGCTGAAACCCAGGCCACGGCTGTGCCCCGCACGGACTCACCGGCACTGCCCCCGACAAAGTCTCCCAGGATCAGCTTGTACTTCTCTGCCTCGCCCGCCATCTTGAATGACTGGTACTTGGCAAATCGGTGGTTGCCCTCAAAGTCCATGAGGTCTACCCGCAGCTCACTGCTTCCTGTTGGAGGTGGGTGCTCAGGGCCCGGCAGAAGGGACCCTCTGCCTCCAGGCACGGGGGGTGGGAATGTGGGCTTTAGGGGACGTCTGAACTTGGCATCGGGGACAGTTCACGGGGAAGGTGTGAGAGGCTGGGCTGGTGGGAGGACCTCAGGGATGCCTCCCTGTTTTCAAATAGCTCCCCTGCTGTTCCATCAGCCATGCCTGAAATTCCACGGTCAGTGTACCTCGAGTGGAATGAAGCCTCGCTCTAGTGTGAAACCCTAAATTCTCCTGCCAAAAGCTGTGAATGTCACGGCAGGAAACCTTTGTATGTGTAGTTACTTCTGTAAGAATTTCAGGCACGTGACTGGACACCGACAAGGTTGCCGTGAGGGAGTGGAAGGATTAAGAAAGGATGACCTCAGGACCAGCTGTGAAGCTGATTCTCTGGAACGGAGAAGTGGGGTGAGGGGGCCTGCGTGGGGACCGCCACATGCACCGAGCGGGAGACGCGAGGGAGGGGCTCCGTGGGCCCGAGATCCCAGTTTCAAGGAAGGACCAACCGTTGGAAGTGGGAGAAGGGTCACCCCAATCCAGACGGCCGCCCCCTCACTTCCGACTCTCGGGTTCTAGATACGGTCGGTCCCGAGAACAGAAGTCGTCTTCACTCCAGTAATCCACCTCCTCCGATTTGAACACTCAGAGAGTGTAAGAGAATACATGTCCTAGGTTCTCAGAGTAATAACCCCTCCTGCTGTCACACGTGACCACCCCGGGGGCCAGGAGGAGCGGGGTCCTCTGGCCCACATGGCCCAGGGCTAAGGTCAGGGGCATGTGCATTCCAGGCACCCCACCGCAGAGCCCCCGGCCGTGGCCCTACCCTGGGCGGTCAGGGCGTGGATGTTGTCATTCCCCAGCCAGAACTCTCCCAGCTGACTGCCGAAGCCCTGCTGGTACGCGGCCCAGTCCCGGCAGAAGTCCACGGAGCCGTCGCTCCTTCGCTGGAAAACCTGCACGCGACGGGGAGGGCTGGGGAGACGGGCCCCACTGCCGCCCCCCACAGAGCGCCCCGGCCCCGCGCGGGAGCAGCGTTGGTAGGTCACAGGCATCACAGGCTGAGGACCAGAACGCGGGTCTCATCCAAGAGCCCAGGGGCAGTCAGGGACACCCACACGGGACCAAGGAGGAAACGGAGGCTCAGAGAGGGCAGGCGACAAGCCCAAAGCCACACAGCTGCAGAGGAGTGGGCACCTCCGGGCCTGAGCCCACAGCCCTGAGCCACGGGACTCCTTCCCATGTGGGTCCACACTCCCGTCCCCCCGACATTTCTGATTCTCCCGACCTCAGTGAAAGGACGGGGTCAGCCTCAGCCTGGAGGGAGTGGACGGTCTCACAAAGGCCACTAAAGAGTGATCTGCCACCAGGTGAGCCTCCCCGGCACGCACACCCCTGCCCAGGAGCCCCACGGCCATCACTGGGTAAACCCCACGGCCATCGCTGAGCGCCCCCGACTCACAGTCCACCCCCCGCCGTCCACGTCCATGTCACACAGCACGGTCAGGGGCCGGCAGTCGGGCAGGTAGATGGTGTGCCAGCCGCTCAGAAAGTGCCCCCTGGTGAGCAGCTCCTTACAGGTCCGAGGTCCTGGGAAGGGAAGCCGGGGAATGGACGCCAGGACAGGAGCTCTGGTTGGAGCAGTGGGGAGGGGAAGCAGGGAGGAGGGAGGAGCAGGGACACCTGCCTGGGGGAGGTGGGCTCTGAGTCCTGGGACAGAGACGCAGCCCCCAAGGCCACCCGGCTGTGACGGCCAGGCCCCCACCTCCCAGGGCTGTCCCCGCCAAGTCTCCTGGGCACCTGGCCTCCTCCAGGAATATACTCGAGTTATCCAGGCAATGGCTGCCTATCACTCGGGTAAGCGCGGAGTAAGATATGTGCAGAGAGGGTTTTGTCCTTGGAAGGTGGAACCTGAGTCTGTGCAGCTGGCCTTCTGGTCGATCCCCCCTCCCCCGCCCCAAGCAGGAGCAGGTCCAGGCAGAGGTCCGGGGGTCGGCGTGTGTGCGGTCACCTGTGGCACAGGAATGAAGCTGCCCCGGCTCTCCTGTTGTGGGGAGAGAGGACATGCACGCCACACGTCTGGAAACAGCGCCCCGTGCCCCTCAGCCCCGTTGCTCCGTGAACACAGTGTGGAGAAAGGAAACCATCATCCAGCTCTTTGCAGGACTCTCAGCCTCCAGCCCTGCGGATCAGCTCCTAGACTCAGCATCACTGGGCTTGCTTGGCCCCCACTGCATCCGGCCTGCCTGGGGGCTGGCGGCCAGTACCGTCCCGCGGGGCACTGGCTGGACCGCCGTGCCGGCCACCTCGCCTGGGCTTCACGGCACACGGCGGTGCAGGTTCAGCGCCCCCAGGCCTATCGCTTTCCACAGCCCGTGTCTCCAGCACAGCCTCCGCTTGTGGAAAGTACTGGGGAGCGTTTGGGATGTGAGTCTGGGCCCCAACCTCGCACTTTGTATTTGTAGCCAGAGCACGTGACTGTGTCTCGGCGTTTTGCCTTTTCTTGCTTTTACACATTTTTAAATAAATGAGCATAAATCAGAGCATTATAAGCAAAATGTCCAAAATCATGTAGTAAAGGCGGTGCTGCCAGTCCCCTGGGTCCAGCTCTGGAGCCTCTGGGCTTTGAGCGCTCACCGGCGCTGACAAAGCACGCCGGACTCAGAGGCCCCTCCTCCCACTCCCACTGGCTGCAAGGAGAAGGCCAGGGGTGTGGTCTGAGATCCTCCCCCAGGTGGTGCTGGCCGTGGCCGAGCCCTCTGGGACGCCCCAGCCCCCTGCAAAGCCTGCCCAATGACCCCAGGGAGGCGGAGGGGCTCACCTTTCTCTCCGCCCGCGCCCTTTTCCCCTCGGTCTCCTGGGGAGAGACAGGAGATGCACAGGACGTCTGGTCAGTGGACATCGACCCTTCGCTCTGGAAACCACCCAAGCGCTCAGTTCTTCGGGAGCTGGGGCGTGGGGGATGGGGCTGTGGCTCTGGGCACCACGCACGCATGCTCCGCATCCCACACCTTTCCAATGCCTGGGTCTCAGCCGGGGGAGTTGCGGGGGGACTCAGAGGCCTAGATTCTTCCCTGGGTTATGAGAGGCTGCTCTGGACCTTGGGCCCCGGACCCGGGACCCAGTTCACACGCTGTCTCGAAGCTCTTTGGAAACAGCAAATAGGACAGGTGCCTCTCTGTCACTTGGCCCCCCTCCCTCTCTCTGTCTCTCTCCCATCTCTCTCTCCGCCTCTTCCCTCTCTCTCTCTGTCTGTCTCCATCTCTCATGTCTCTGTAGACAGGCCCCGGGGTCCTCCTCTATCACCTTTGGTACCTTCGGGCCCGGCCGGCCCCGCCTTCCCAGGGACTCCGGGAGAACCTCGCTCTCCTGTAAATTCCAAAGATACATCCTTGAGGCAAAGGCCACGTGAAGAATTCTCCTCGAGCGTCTCTGCCCTAAGGAGCACAGCCCTGACCCTCCATCCCAGCTGCGGTGTCCTCAGGGTCACTGCCCTGGGACTCCGCCCGAGGGTGACAGCAGGCGTCGGGGACAAAGCACTCACAGCTACCCGGTGCCGGCCGGCCGGCGCGCCAAGCTCGGGCCCCAGGCAACCATCAGCGATCTGGCTCCCGACCACCTCAGTGTAGCAGCCCAGGTCCAGGCCACCGTCACAGAGCCCCTCCGGCTACATGGGGGCCTGGGACCAAGAGCACGTCCTCAGAGACCCTGTCACACAGGACCCTCCGGCCCCTTGGCTCTGGGAGGGAGGAGGGGCCCTGCCCTGTGCTCAGCCCTGGATGCAGGGGCGGTCGGGGGCAATTATTCATCCCTCTGGGGTGGTTCTCTCTCCACCTCCATAGAGGAGGGGTCGGGCGCCACGAGGCCTTCCAGGTCTGCGTTATTGGTGTGAGAAGGCGGCTAGGACCACCCAGGGGCCCTGCCCCTCCTCCTGAGCACTGAGGGGAGGGTCAGGAGAGGTGGCCCCAGGCTCAGCAGAGGCAGCAGGAGAATCTGCCGGCAGGCTGCACTCCCCGGGGGGTGTGGGGGTGTGGGTGGGTGGCCGAGGGGGTGCCGGCTCGGCTTGGGGTGGACTAACCACACCCACTGGTGGGCAGCCGCCCCAGCCCGGCCCCTCTTCCCAGTGTCCCCCGGCAGGACCCCCAGCCTGGAGCCCATCGTGGTGAGCACATGCAGCCCTCCCATCCCCAGGAGCTGCCCTGGGTGCCCACGGCCCCTGAGCTGGATACCTCTCAGGACGTGAGAATCTGGGGACCTCCGAGCTGACCCTGTGTCTGGAGCCCTTGGAGCGTCCACTCACACGCAGGCCCGGGGCACTCACCCCTTGAGCTGCGTGCACACCTGCCCTTCATACCAGGCTCGGGGCCCGAAACCCCACAAGGGGACCACCACGTCGACGGGAGAGCTGTGGAGCGCTCGGGGGCCTTCCTACAGAGTTGAGGTCCAGCTCCACCCTCCCTGGTGATGGCTGACTGCTCTGAGCCCCAGTTTTCTCATCTGTGGTACAGATAGAAAACGCTGGGGCCTCAGTTTTCAGGTGAGAATACCGAGGTACGCGTGGCTTGGAACTCTGGCCCACGGCCACGTAAAGCCAGGGCTGGATCGAGGACCGGGAAGCAGGTGTTCTATGGAAGTGTACCCCGGTGTGAGCTCATAGAATAGCTGCGACCAGCCCCCTCCTCAGGGAATGGCAGATCCCGGTGGGCCTCAGGGGTCGCTCCTGACGCCAGCTCTGAGCAAGGTCGTGACCCAAGCTCCCGACCTGAGACCCGCAGGGGGCAGTGCCCACCCGGGGTCTAATATGAGAAGGGCTGGTGCTCAGTGACCCCCACGTCCGAGCCAGAGCACATACCCTTCTGTCCCTTGGCGCCTGCCTCTCCTTTGGGCCCTGCGGGTCCGGGCAGCCCCGGGCAGCCTCGGAGGATGGAGGGCTTGTCGGAGCCCTCCAGACCCACCAGCTTCACCTCTGCAGAGGGACACAGAGCGCCAGTCAGTGCTCTCGTCCTGGGCCTGAGAGCTTGCAGAGCCGGCGACCAGCCACCCGAGCCACGGGGATCTGCCACGCGGCGACCTCGGCCTGGGCCCTTGGCTGTGGCCAGAGTCACCCGTCTCAGATGAAGGGTCAGCCTGGCAGTGATTTTCCCGCCTCTGGTGGGCACTGGTCAGGTGTGGAGGTGATGCAGGGCAGAGCCCTGGCCTGGTGGTCCACCCTGCCTGAGCCACCCTACCCCCAGCCTCAGTGCTGTGTGTCCTTGGGCAAGTCCCTCAACCCCTCTGCGCTCTGTCCCTTCGGCGCCCAAGTGGAGACAGGAATAGGACTGTGGGGAGGATTAGATTAGATAACGCAGATTTTAAACTTCTTAGTATAATTCATGGCATTTTAAAAGAACCTCATAAACAGTGGGTGCTTTCACTAAATAACCACAATAAATATTTTAAAGACTTTGGGAATCTGGGTCAATGTAACATTTTCACCCCAGACCTTGGACTTTTGACCTTAGAATTCCTGAACTCGAAGGGGTCTGTGTAGGGCCCCTGGAGAGGGGACACATTTGATCCAAGGACACAGAGCAAACTCCAGTAGAACTGGAACCAGAGATTCATTTCCTCCTCAGAAAAAAATAATTATTTTTGTTGATTTCAAAACTGAAATATCCTCAGGAGAGACAACTTAGAGGATGTGGGAATCAGCTGTGCTCTCACTGGAGACACAGGCAGCTGTCGTTTTGGGGTCTGTCTCCAGCTGGGACTCTCTCACGGGGGCAGCCTTATGCTTCCCCCATAAATACGTCCTCCACTCAGGGGGAGGCTGGTCTGTCCTCAGGGGCAGCCTCTTGCCAGGTGTGGGCCCCATCCACCTGCGTGGGATCGGGAGGGAGACCACAACCCCCTCTTAGACCCAAATCTGCTGAATTGCACTCTCTGGGGTAAAAGCCAGAAATCTGCACTAACAAACCCCAAGTAAACGTGGGAGCCCTTGGATTAGAACATCTTACAACATCTTTCTGAAAAGTCCAAGAGAAGACAGAGAAAGTGATGGGCATGGTCCTTTTTCTCAGTGGCAGAGTCGAGACCTGGCTGGGAAGCTCGTGGGGTGAATCACAGGCTTGAGAGTTGGACAGACCTGGGATTAAATTCCTGCCCCCCCCCCCCCGACCTGTGTGACCTTGGGCCTGTTGTGTCCTAGTCTGCAGGTGAAGTTGAGCTGTTGAGTCTTCAGAAGGAGATGCATACGGAGGGTTTAACCCTAGATACTATTTGTGGTCAATGAGTGGGTAGTTACCAGCTCTCAGGGACTGGAAATTCAGGTCCATCTCACCCGGACAGGTGTCTGCAGTCTGGGCGGCCAGGGTCCTGAAGCACAGGAATAAAAGGAGTTGGCCGGTGGGCCCAGGGCCACGGCCACTCCACTCAGCTCCATGTCCTCTGGTCTTTGACCTTGCTCTTGTGAGCAGGGGAAGCCAGCCCTTGCCTGGGCCTGTGGTTTCTCAGCTCCCACGGGGACACCCACTTCCTGCAGCCTCTTTGGTTACACCAACAGGAGGTACCAGTGATGGCAAAGGGTGTTTCCTTCCTGCTGGGCCCCACCATGCTGCCCGCTGAATCAGGCTCACTTCCCCTGGCAGGATACTCCGTTCCCAGTCGAGAGAGCTCCCAGGACCCCTCTGTTGGAAAGGGTCTGCCTTCTTTGTGGCTTAAGGAAAGCCCAGTCCCCAGACCCTCTCCTCATTACCCAACTACACCCAAACAACAGTCTGAGACCTTGACTGGGGTATAAGGAGGAGTTGGCTAGAGATGCTCCTTCCCTCGCCTGATTTCCAGAATATTCTAATGACTGAGGCAGTCCTTGAGCACTTAACACAGCGGAAGAGAAAAAAATCCCGAGCACTTCTTATGTACCAAATACTACTTATGCCAGCCCCATTCGGAAGACACTAACTATTATCTAAACTTCACAGGTGGAGAAACTGAAATCACACAGCTAGTAAGAGCCTGACGATACCTCGAGTCTGTCTAATGCTCCAAGGACCACTGGGTCTGGGCATTACACCAGAAGGCGAGGCTATGTCTTATCTCCCTCCAAATCCCAGAGGCCATCGTCCACATCTTGTACTATGATCACCCTTAACCGGGACATGTGGTGGGCATTCTGTAAAGGGCTTCTGCAGATGTGTAGAATGTCACTAAGGAGAGTAGGAAGAGGACAAGAGGGGACGAGCTGAGGGTGAAATTCTTCTGTGGTTTGATATTTTTCCGGGCCAGTGCTCGTGGGCTGGTGTCCCAACCACACCCACTGTCCAACTAGGAAAGAAGCCGGGGATGGCCTGACCAGAGGTTTAGCAACCACCTCTATGGGCACTGGAATGACACTAGACTTTGCAAATTTTTGTGCGGTGGCTCCAGCCCATGGAGACGGAGGGAACAAAGAGGTTGCGTTGCCTCAGGCGTTGCATTGCCTCAGGCACCGCTCAGCCTCCCTGAGCTACTGGACGGGGCAGCCTGTCCCCAGCATGGGCCTGGATTTCGTCTGTTGGAGAGGGGCCCGTTCAGGGCTGTTCACCTGGCCTCAGTCAGGACAGGGAGAGAGGCAGCCGGTCTTTGTCCTTCAACCCCATCTGCCAGTGACAACCCCCCACCCCAATCCCAGGGTGCTTCCTCTTTTTCACGTTGCCAGTAGAACGAATGCAGGTGAGATGTTGACAACACAATCAGGTGTCGCTTTAATGTTCCTAAGAGTATGTGGGCCTAAGAATACAAAAGAACGCAGGACTCTGTCAAGTTCAGATATCTTAAAGCAGGATCAGTCAAGGTCATTTGACTTCTGACAGTGGCAGGTTAGGTATTTGGGGCCATCTATCCTCATAAAGACAAACAGACAAAACATTAAAAAAGAGATTTGCCTGAAGGCATAGTCAAGTGAACCACGTAGGAATGGGTTACTTTGCTATGTTCTTGAGAGCAACAGAGATCTGGAGAGGCGAAACCAGCATGTGGGGTCTCTTTTTGCCAATCCCCCAAAGATAGCTGAGAAGCTGGTCAGTCACCTCAACAATTTTGCAGCATTGAAGGTCAAAGTTTGGGGTCTGTGTTCTGTCAAAGGAGTGGATTTGGGGTGGGATCCAGAGGCATTTCTTCCTAGAAATAAGGATGAATCATCAATAGGCAGCCCTAATGTGGACTGCAAACTGGTTTTGAGACATCTAGGTGTCCCAGGGAAAAAAATCTCAACTCCTGAAATTCTAATAAGGTCTTCCTAGATCACTAGTATCCACTTGCTCCGAGCTGAAACCAACACAAATCTTGTCAGAAGGAGAACAGTGTGACCCCAGGATTTAAATGATTTCTGCAAATATATGTATTTTCCAAATTAAATGTTAGAACACAATAAAAGATAACCAGGTTCCTGAGGATAAAAGACAACATGTACAAGAATAGAAACACCAGAGTATAGAAACAGATCCCCAGAAGCTACAGATACTGAAACGACAACATTGTTAATGGTGAAAATTGAAAAGCATCCTCAGAGATTGAAAACAAGGATGCTCATAAATCACCACTTCTGGTCAACATTGTGTCACTGTCAGTGCAGTAAGGCAGAAAAAACAAATACGATGTAAAAGAATTGGAAAGGCAGGTACAAGGCCATTATTATTTTCAGAAGATACGATTTATGTAGAAAATTCAGGAGAATCTAAAATTAAAAGTTTTAGAATGAATAAGCTTAGTAAATATCAATCATGTTCCTAAAAGCTAGCCAGAAAGAATTACAAAATGAAATTTTAAACATTTGCAATAGTGACACCAAAATCAAGTAACTGTGAATAATTCCGGCAAAATACACGCTAGTCCTCCATCTGGCAGTAGAAAACCGTCAGATGGGAATGAGTGATGTTTAAAAAGAGTAGAACAATTGTAAGAATATTCTCCGTTCATGGATTCAAATGCTCAATATTGTAAAAATCTTAGTTTCTCTCTCTTTGATATGCAGATTCACTGCATTATCAGTTAAATGCCCATTTTATTGGGAAACTTGACAAGGTGAATTTGAAGTTTGTTTAAAAGTTTAAAGGCCAATAATTAGGCTGTTTTGAAGCAGATAGAACACGGAAGGACGACTTGCTCTGCTTGAGGTCAATAATTGTCACGAAGATATAGTCACTGAGATGGTGTGGTACCAGCTCCAGGATCCAGACTAAACCAGCAGAACTGAGTAAAGGGTCTAGAAACAAATTCAGGCGTAAACGGACCCTTGGTGCATGACAGTGGTGGCTCTGCAGGGCAATGGAGAAACAATAAACTTTTAAAAATTGAAATATAGTTGATTTACAATGTTGTGTTAATTTCTGCTGTACAGCAAAGTGATATGGTTTTATATATATATATACTTTAAAAAAGTATTTTCCACTGGGGTTGTGACGAAAGAAACGGAAGAACAGCTTCAGGGCTAACAGCACATTTTGGCTTCTGTAAGAAACTTGCTTGCTTGCTTGGGGCGGGAAGAACCGGGTTCCTGATTGGCTGATTCAAAATTAAACAGCTCCCTCCCGCCTTGGGGGCTTCCCGCCCTGTGAAGGGTATAAAAGCCTCGCCCGACTGTTAGTCGGGGTCTCACTCACTTCTCTCCGAGTGGGACCCTGTCCGGACAGTTTGGGTCAGCTTCTATACTCGTATAAATCCTTTGCTAATCTTTCTACTTGGTGTTGGTGATTCTCGGGTGTCCTTGGTTGGGACACAGGTTGCATTTACCGGGGAACTTGACTCCAGGCGTGTGGCTCCCGGACGGCAACAGGGTTATCATAGGATATTGAATATGGTTCTCTGTGCCATACGGTAGAACCTTGTTGTTTATCCATTCTATATATAATAGCTTACATCTGCTAACACCAACCTCCAACCCTCTCCTTCTTGAATAAACTTTCAGTAAACACTGTGAGCTACTGGGTATTCACGTGGGAAAACCAGAAATGAAACCTGACCCTAATCATAAAAAAAAAATCAATGTTGGCAGAATTATAGACCCAAATGGGAATAGTTTTAGACCACATTGTAAGATATCAAATAACCTTGGTGAATGCAGGAATGAAAAGCACTAAACAAAATGGAAAACTCTGGAAATTGACTTTGAAATTAAGAACTTTGGGTTCTCAAATGATACCCCCAAGAGAGTGAAAAGACATGCCGCGGGGGGGG